CCCCAAAACCCCAAAACCCCAAAACCCCAAAACCCCAAAACCCCAAAACCCCTTAGGTTTTATGTAAAATAGAAAAAGATTGTTGATGGTTATTGATGTTAATAATTAAAATTCGTCATCAGATTCTTCTTTGTCGGCATAGTCGCCATGGTTCGCGAATAGCAAGCCTTCATCATCAATAAAACTATCTCCCACTACCTTACTCTGATTTTCTTCTTGATTGTTCATAGAAGTATCAGATATCTCAATTGAGTCATTAGCAGGAGAGTTTATAGAGGAGTCTTTAGACTCTGTTATACCTCCAGAACGAGGGTTGGTCAATGCTCTTGAGTTTTTACTAAAATCTATTAGCCCTAGGAGATCTGGATATAATTCCTCTGTTTCTCGCAAGTAATTCAAATACTCCTGAATCTCATTTCTGCTCCTGTTACTATCCATACCGTTGTAAGCATTTCCTGTTTTAGAAATAATTGGAATTGGTAAATCCTGATGTTTTCTGCTGACTCGATTTCTATGGTCGTATATCTCTGAACATGACTTGATAGTTTCCCAGTTATTTCCATCAAGGTATTCCACCGCAATGTTGTACCCTATTTCATTCCCTCTCAGACTTCAGACAGTGACTTTCGGAATACCTAAAATTAAGGATAAAACTTTGTCTTTAAAATTTAGCTACTTATGCTCCTAAAGTATCACAAATTGGTGGGGGTTGTATAGTATCCAAATTTTAGATAGTTTCCCCCAAATAATTGAACCTTTCATTTGCTAAGAATAGGAGTCGCTTCTAAATTAATTTATATCTGTTTAAAATCTAAGATCAGCTTTGCTCTGTATAAGAAGGCATCATCCAATAAAAGTTTAAAACTTTTCATTCTCAAGAGCTAAATGCTCTGTAGTTCATTCACTTTATTTCTATCATATTTTTGTTAAGATTTCTATCGATGATACTCTGAGCCAAATCTTTATGAGGCTCAATGACAGGTAGCTTACCTGTATAGGAACCATCCCGATGAGTTTCATTACCCATTTTGGCACCTGTGCTTCTTGTCTAAAGCGGAGATTAATACTATTAGTAATGTATGAACGACTAAATAAAGAGGAGATATCGAAATAAACGGTACATTGCGAAGCTTACACTATGCTTCATATGACTTTCTTCATCATCTGGTACTAAACTCTTCAATGGGACCGTTTCTAAGTGTGCTAGTTCATTCTTAAGTTTCTTGTATTTGATCTTCCTGTTTGGAAGAGAGTTCTCATGCTGTAAAAGAAGTTCAAGCTGCTCATCTTCACTCTCTATTCCCAGAAAAATGAGAATTTCTTTACACCAGAATTGTTTGTTACTGCAGATTTTTTGTAAAAAGTTTTCGATGTTATTTCAACTTATTCTCAACAGCTTGAGTGATCTCACTTAGGGAACTGACATTAGAGATCTTCTTATCAATAATAGGGACTTCATGGACTTTCTTTCTATTATTTTCTCTCACATACTCGACAAGGTAATTCTCTACATCCAAAAACTCATTGAAATTCCTTTTGACTCTTTTATCAACTTTGCTCGTTACCACCCTGAAGTGGATGTCTTCATCCTTCTTGATCTTGTAGTCAAGGTAAATCTTAATGGGCTGGTCTCCATAAGAGATACTAGAGTTTGTATCAGCTACTCTCATTGATCCTCTTTTTTGAGGAATCATCCTCTGCTTTTTCCTCGTCTTGATCATGAATAAGAAAGCAATACAACTAGAAACAAACTCTAGGCTCATGAAGATGTAGTCAAATATATCAGTAGGGAATTTAGCAAGGACAATAACGGTAATACTCAAGATTAAGATAAACACAGGGTTTATTGTCCAGAATAATTTGTGTCAATACCATTCATTATTCAGATTTCTAGTGTGTTCCATCTGAATTAATAAGCCCAAGAAAGTCCATGTGACAGAATATATTAGATAAAGAAGTGAGAAATAAGGACTTTCGTAGAGCCAAAAAGATTCTATAATAAAAGCAGCTGGAATAGGGATGACATACAGCAACGCAGTAGCATATCAGAGCAGAAGTTTTAACTTAGTTAGCTTGGAGTATCTAGTAGTCCGATTAATTCCATCATTTCGGATACTTAGATATCTGATTAGTCATGCCATAAGAGCTATGTATCAAGGAATAGATACAACAATAATGCTCAGGGCAACCTTTAAGTTGAAATTATAGTCGATTGCCATAGTCTTGTTTTTATATCCAAATATTATTAATTCAGTACTATTATCTCTACTTGGGGTTTTGGGGTTTTGGGGTTTTGGGGTTTTGGGGTTTTGGGGTTTTGGGG